GTTTGGGAAATGGCAGTAACTCCACACTCTGGTAAAATCACCTTTCTGATCATAGTGTCTCTGTGAGCAAATAAGACCAGAGCATTTAAACATGAATTTAAGAAGCTAGCAATCCAGAAATCATCATGTAGATACAGGGAGATGAGTTTTATGAGATTGAGATGAACATATTAGCTGATTTGCTGAAAACACTAAGGTCTTTTCCATAAGGGAAAAGCAGGCTACACTTTAAGGACTATTATCTGTACCCAATGGCAATGTGTGGGAGGATAACATTATTTAGGTTAGGCTATTTTCATTCTATGAAAATTTATTCAAAAGTTTTTCTCTAGAGGCACCTGGCCACTCAGTGCTTGAGCGCCTGCCTTCAGCTCAGGTCATGATCCCGTGTCCTGGGATCAAGTCCCACATCTGGCTCCCTATGGGGAGCCTGCATCTCCCTCTGCCTGTGTGTGTGTGTGTGTGTGTGTGTGTGTGTGTGTGTCTTTCTCATGAATATATAAATAAAATCTTAAAAAAAAAGTCTGACTCTAACCTTAGGAAATGGTTTTGCATGACTGGAATATGCTTATGAGACTCAGTAGTGACTGTTTTAGTGGCTAAGAGGGCCCAAATGTGAAGAGGAAGAAAAACAATAACTGCCCTATAAGTACCCAGAAGGTATTCATAATGTTTATGCCCTGTTAATTGTTGTTTCATAATTATTCATTAATAATAACAGCCTCTGTCACACAATGAAATGAATCTCTTCCTTCAATTAGACATGTTCAAATAATCAGAATATTTCTAAGAATTTTGACAAATTCTGTTTATTATTATTTTATTATTATTATTATTATTATTATTATTTTATTTGCAGAACCACCAGATTAATGTTGGGTAGAACCAGAGGATTCAGGCAGACTTGGTTTTGTAGAGAATTTACAAGTAAAATTTTCAATGTTATGTTTGCAAATGACCAAGTGTCTTTTACGGGAGAGAGAATCCAGATGACAACATTTGTCTTAAGGCCAATGGGCCAGGTCAAATTGAAAGAAAGAGCACAGAGTTCATTCTCTTGTGACAGGGATTTAGAGAGAGTGGGCTGATAAAAAATAGTGAGTAGAAACCAAAGAAAGCTGCTTTACTATGAGCTCTATGAAATAACTCTTTAGGTTTCAGAAAGAAAGGTCAATGAATTACATCTTTTTCCCTCTCTCCAGGATTCAAAGCCAATTGAAAGATAAACACAAGAGGCAGTCAGATTAAAAAAAAAAACAAACAACAATTTTAAAAAATAAGCCTTTATTATGAACTAGATGTGTAATGGAAGACCAGATATCTAGGTGTAGCCAAAGGGTTTATCCATGAATCAAGGCAGACTGACCCAATCAGCTCCTGGATCCTTGGGACCACAGCCTATGCCATTTCAGGGTCAGTCCACTTCTCACATCTCAGAAACCAGAATTCAGCCTCAGAAATAATTCAGGGGCTAAGCCACACAATCCCACTTCCCTTTGCAAACTCACTCATCAGATCATTTAATTCTCTTCCCCAAAGGAGACAGAATGTGTTGGGACCAGGGAGAGTGGAGCTGGGACTCTCCAGCTATGCTTTCCTTCCCAAGGAAAAGTGAAAAGTTGGGAATATGTGGTTTTCCCAGTAGTATAGAGAATATGAGGAGTCAGCAGCCAACGGGCTAGAAATGAGGGCGATGATGGAGACAATGCTCTTAGCAGACTTTGTACTTGCTGGATTTGATATAAATAACTGTGGTGCAGACCTTAGCCAACTGTGGCAATATTTGTTTTTATCCCCAGACATCGAATAGAAGAAGAATATTCACCTAAGGCTCACAGCATCCTGGAGTATATGCTTGATATTAATAAAATTTAAAGTTATGTTTCAAGTATTTTTAATTTTGTATGTAGATAATTATATGCAATTGGACAAACATTATCAATTTTACGGCATACAGATTACTAGGTTAATTAGAGTATCAATTATCTGGAATGTATCCCCATCCTATTTCAACCATTCTGAACCATTGAGAGGTATTGACTAAATGAGTATTTCTTTGTAAAGATCCATTGTGTTCAAGGCATGTCTTGATAACAGACATAGAGAAATGAATTATATGCATTCCCTGACCTGAAAAGTCCTTATCGCAAAGAATTTACAGACATGTAGCTAATTAGGTACAACACAACAAAAACGCATTGATAGAGGCAGTGCGGAAGGAAACAGACAATGTGTGCAGATATACCTAGACCTCAGTGAAGGCTGGAATTTGAAAAAGCCTCCTGAAAAATAAGTGAGATGTCACCAGCTGTAGGAATTATAGAGGAAGTTCTAGGTAGCCATAGGAACAATTCTGACAAGAGGATCCTCTGTAGAATTACAGATAATGGCATTATTGAAAAGCAGAATTCAATATAGGGTTGATAAAAGTTAAAGGTCAAGATGTCGGTTGAGGCAAGCTCTTAAAAGTTATGTTGTGCCATGTTGTGTTGCTGTGATGTGGTTCATTACTTTGGTTTGATTTTGTTCCCTTCTTTGGCAACAGATGCTGCCATCTTTTGCTAAAGAATAAATAGGGATGAGGCATCATCTTAGAATCACTGATGTTTGCCAGGCTTCAAAGGGTAAACAAATGGGAAAATAGTCCCAATCTTTCTGGGAGAAAAGAGTGGTCTTGCTCTGAGAAGGGTCTATCACTGGGCTTGGTGGTGGTTCTTCCGTGCTTTGGTGGACAATGGGCCCAGTATTTGTTAGGCTAATTTGTATGTCAAGAGTTGATGTGCATGATAAATATGTTTATAGATCTCTAGTACTTTCTCGAGGGCCTCTAATTGGCCCTATTGTTGGAAAGTAATTGTTCCCCCTATTACTGTTACAAAAGAGCTTGACTCCATCACTGGATGATAGGTACCTCAGGGGAAATTGAACCTGCCTCCACTACTGAATTTTGGACCAAATTGTAAGGTCAGCCTTACCTACTGGGGGGTGTCTTGCTTTCAAAAAGTCCAAGTATTTTGCAAAAGAAACTTGTTTCTCTCCCTTTTCTACCAGAAAAACTTAACATTCTTGAGCTAAGACCAGCAGGCACTGCTACGTACTGATGGTCTCTGCCATGTCATCAACATGAGGCCAAGGAGATCAAAGCAGTTTAAATCAAATGTTTCCAGCTAGGCTGGCTGGCAAATATCCATGAAGCAAGTTATTGGAGGGTACGTATCCCTCCCCATAATATTTGTTACCCTAGGTGATCATACTGTTTTAGTACAGGTAGCTGCTATGCAAAATGGGACTCAGTCCATTTGTTTGCATGGGACACAAATTGTCAAGCTAGTGAAGGGCAGCAGAATATGCTATCCCTGAAAATGGTTCTTTGGCATATTGATTATTTTCCATTGTAGTCATTTTAAAAACAGCTAATACAGGAAGAGGCTTTCTCTAAACTCCTCCTATCTGCCTAAAGACAGATCTTCCAAAACGAATTTAGCTGTCCTAAATTTCTTCCCAGAGGGATGTCACCAACCAGGGAGGACTGACTATACACCTAGACAAACTTTGTCACAAACTGTCATACCTCCTATATATTCTTCCAAGAGCCTATTCATTTCTTCCTAAGAATCATTGACAACCCTCTAAGAATCCTACATCCCTGACCCTTCACCTATTAAAATGGTGTTTAAGCCTGAATTCTAAGCCATCTCAGGGAATTATTTTGTTTCCCCTGGGTATCTCCCACATACATACCTGAGGTATGCATGTGAATAACCTTCTCTTTTTCTCTTGTTCATGTGTCTTTTATCATAGGAGTGTCATATAAGAACTCAGAAGGATAGAAAGAAAATTGTTTTTCCTCCTTTACATTAGTATCAAGTCTTTGTCATTCATTCACCACATTCTATGTAATGACGTTGGACTGATCCTGTAGTGCTTTCCTCCATCACTTTATGTATGTATGACCCCCCCGCCCCTCCCCACCAGGCCTTAACGGGAGGGAAAAGGCTATCCTTGGCAGACCTTAAACTGGACTTTGGGTATCTTGCTATTACCTGTCTTGGGAGAGCACCCAAGGATTTTGCACTTTTAGAACTGAGACAGGTTTCTGAACTCCTTTGATCTGTAGGACTTCACCCTGGTTTTCTGAAAGTGCTAGAGAAAGAAACAGTCTGTGATTATAATCAAGGGAGACAGACCTGATCAAAGACGCTTTGTAGCATTGCACACTGGCAATGGTATGGCAAATGACTGGCAAGGATGCTAGAGCTGCATGATCAGCAAGGAAGCCACAGTGAATATCCACGCCCGGATGGAGATGCTCAAGGGCAACACTGGTGGAAAGAAAAGCCTTCCTCACAGAGGAGGATGTATATATAACCATATACCCCTAATGTAGCTTTCATTTTCAGGGTATGATTTCTCAGGAAACATTCATTGCAATAGAAGTACCACAGGTTGGCTCATATTCAATGTGTCATTTATGTGAAGGAAATGGACTAGGCCATGTTCAACCATTAATGACTTGGTTTGAGGCCTTGATGTCTGGGCCTTGATGTCAGCTACTATCCTCCTCCTGACTTTATTACTTCGATGTAAAAATGAATCCTCCACCTGTGTGAAGTTGTCCTCCTCCTACCATCCTTGTCCTGTGTGAACAGTCTGTGTTTTCACCTTAAAAGAAATATCAGGTGCTGGTTCTGTGTAGAGTAAGTTGCTGCCAAGATAAAGAAACTGCCTAGAAGCTGCAATAATTGAAGGGGCAGACAAAAACGGTGTTAACTGTCCAAATGGTGTTCTTATGAAATGCCCAAGAGTAACCAGTAGTTAGGAAAACTTTGGGCTGAAAGCAAAAACCAGAAGTGTAGTCTTGTATTTCATGCACTAATTACATATATATTTCCCTGATCCTTCAGTAGCCAATATATTTGGTGGCAAAATGTTTCCTGTGAGGTAAAGGATATACTTGTAAAACAAACTCACATAATTATTTATTTAAAAGCATAATCCTTGTGCTCGCTTTGGCAGCACATATACTAAAATTGGAATAGTACAGAGGGGATTAGCATGGCCCTTGTGCACATATGACATGAAAATTCATGAAGTGTTCCATATTTTAAAAATAAATAGATAAAAGTATTATCCTTTATTTTAAAGATGAGGCATTTTGCACTATTCACTAAAGTGAGGATAAAATGAACAAATAGCTTAGGAATTATAGTTTTAAAATACCCTGTAACCACATCATGGCATCGTCACTGTATCTGTAGCTATACATTTTGGGAAGGAGCACCACTGTAATCCACTACTGTCGCAGATACAAACCAAACAGAAAACAAACAAACAAACAAGCCTAACAAAACCTATACAATGTATCTCATTTTCAGAGAGATGAATAAAGGCCCAATAACCCCACAAAAACTCCCAAATCAAGTTTCAAGTAGATATTAGGCTGACATTTCCTTAGCAGAGACTTCAATTAGAAATCTTCTGTAGGCGAAAGGTGGGAAGAGATGAGCAGATGAAATTTAACTTACTGGAAGCACATGCTGTGAGCCCCACATTCTCACCTCCACAAACTAGCAAATCAAAGGTATTGAGGATTCAAGCATTTTTCTTCCAGCAGTGGGAGGCCCAAGTGCCTCAACCCAGCTGTCTTTTCATGTTAGAAAGAAAGCTGAGATCATTGTCACTCATATAATATCCCATTTGTTCTGCTGCTTTCACTAAATTTTCTGAATTTTCTGTGGGGTCTCTCTCCCACTAAGAAGATGAACCTGTGCTGCAATTTCTCTGTTTAAACTGTGGGATAATTCCTTCTTTCAGAAAAAGAAAGTGTAGAAACATTCATTTTTACAAAGAAGTCGGGCATAAAGGGACTGTCTTTTCATTAGCGAAATAAACTGCAGATCATTCAATTGTCACATTTCAGAGATTTGCTCGGCAAACCTTCAGTTTCTCTTGTTTTTTAAAAAATGATTTATCAGCAGTGATTACTAGGTCATAGAATTGCAAGGGACTTTCTCCAGAATGGCCAACCATTCACAGCAATAAATTCCAATGACATATTCCTTATGAGGGCAGGCATTCCTTCTTCATGGGAAATGTGTCTTCTATGTAATAGATTTTGCAGTTCCTTAACTCCCTATCTGGGGGGAGAAGGCAGTGGAGGAAATGGAGGAAAAAAAAAAATGGAAATCACCTCACTTGGAATTATGGGAAATTATTTTGAAGAGTATTTTTAAAATAAATAACAGTATGGAATAGTTGAATCACTATATTGCACACCTGAAACTAATGTAACATTGTATGTTAACTGGAGTTAAAGTAAAAACTTAAATAAAAATAAGTAAAATCAATAATAAACACAAGTTGTCCTCCTAGGAATTCCAGGAGTGTGTTGGGTGCGGCTGGAAAGAGGCACAAAGATAAACTTAAGAAGCTATTTTTCTACCATAGCTTTGTTTGAAGAAAGGGATTTAGAGAAAATTAGAGAGCATTACACAGTAAGCTAGGAGGAAAAAAAAAAAAAAGAGGAAAACAGGCCATGAAAGCTTCCAACTTTACCCTCATCTTCATTCTTCTTGGTATTTGTAATTCATTCCTTTATAGGATCTCATTACACAATGTGTATTCATTAAAAGTCCTACATTCAGAAAAAAGTGACTCTAAAAGTGATTCTAAAAGTAAAATAGCCTGTGATTGAATACAAAGGCCTATTATGATTGGGTCTTATGCAGGACCAGGACAACTAGAAGAAGTCTGTGTCTCTCTCTCTCTCCTTTGTTCTTGCAGAGATCCAGACTACCCCATGAATCCCAAGTTTCCATATTCAGTGCCAGAAGTGAATGAGCTCTTCTTGCTCAATCCCAATTCTCAATTTCTGGGAGAGAGAATTAGATCGTCTCAGCGTGGGTAATCAGCTATAGCCAGGGGATTCAGAATCACAGTTTAAATTTAATCATGGTTGGTGGAGAACCAAACTGTGGCTCTTAGTTCTGTTAATGGAAAAAAGCAGATAGCTCCTGAATTGAAAATGTACCCCAATGAGTGTTTACGGTTCTCATTTGTATAATATACTAGAAGAAAGTTTCAAAAATGCCATTTTTTATCAGGAGTCATATATATTTAATATTTCTCTCTGACATTTCCAGGAGAAACAAGGATGTCACTCTACAACTCAATAAACTATTTCCATTTTTTAGTGTGTTCATGTTTAAGACCAAATAATTTCTTGACTTACTTTTATAATAGAAAAATGGAAAGGAAGCAAGCCCCAAATCATCTTCTCATCCTTGACTCTACCACTTTGTCTACGAAATTCTTTTGCCATATGTTCTCCTCAATGTTTCGGCAGATTTCTATCATGGGGGAGCCATATGTTGACTTTGCAATAGCATATTTTTTATTTTTGAGAACTGAGCCCACCATATTGTGGACACAGGCTATGGGAACCTCAATACCTTTCATTTGAATGCCAGGATGGCATTAAATATGTCTGTAATGGTATAGCTAGAAGTATGACTGCTTGATTTGAATAAATGAATGGAGATCTCTGACAGGTGATCATGACAGTAGAGATCAGAGATCTCTGAAAGTCGAGATCATGTTTAGAATCCCATAAAGACATTTTAGAACCCAGCCCAAAGTAGAGGTCTTCCTTTGTTTTTGGGTTCTTTATTGTACGTTGACCTCTGGTTAAATGTTCTTGCTATTGTCCTCATGGTTTACAACTTAAAGATGTCTTGGAATTGATTTCCAAAATGACAATTTCCCAGTATTCTTGGAAAAAAAGGACAGCTAAAAAGTTAAATTTGAAAAAATTAAAGATGTCATTTTTGAGATTATGATGGGTTTTCCCTAAAGTTATTTACATAGGTAAAGCTTTATTTAAAATAAAGCTAGTGAGATGCCTGGGTGGCTGCAGTTGAGGGCGTGATCCTGGGTCTGGGGATTGAATCCCACATCAGGCTCCCTGCAGGGAGCCTACTTCTCCCTCTACCTAGGTCTCTGCTTCTTTGTCTCTCATGAATAAATCAATAAAATCTTTACATAAATAAAATAAAGCTAGTAATTATTATCCTTGTGTTAATGTGTCTCATGTACATGTTCCATGTATTCTCATACATTTAACTTTAGTAGTAGAAGTTTCTTTTTAAAGAAATAAATTATTCTATTTTGGTTGGGTGCCTAAAATGAGATCATTCTTTTCTACCCTAAAGGGTGTATATCATGAACTAGTGTGGAACATTGAACATTCTATATTTTTTAAAGCAAAAGAAGGTAATTCACAGAGATTTTTTTAAAAGGTCTTTTTTAAGGTTTTTAGAGAACTTGTTAAAAAACACCCACAACCATATTTCAAGTCACATTCCCTCTCCTGTCTCTTCTCCCCACAAAATGCTCACAGACTGCCAATTTAAGGGAAAAACATAGTCAAGCCAGCTAAAAAGCATCCAAATGAAGAGAAGGTTAATCGTGGAAGGCTATGGAGGTGGTTGGGACAATCTGCTGATGTCTTGGCAATGACTGCATCTAGACATTTCTTCCCCAGCCCCCTGAGAATGAAGGTTGTCATTCCTTAGCCCCCAGACTCTGGGTTGTAACAACATTCATCCCCAGTCTTGCATCTTTATCATCATCAACCTTCTGACCTAAGAGTGTTGGGAGAAAAGCCTGAGAAGGAGATCTTGAGAACTCACAGGTAGGAAAATAAACAGTGATGTGAATAAGAATGTGAACAGCTTAGAGATTCGAAGCAATAAGCTAGGTCTCCTGTCTCTTCATCTAACCCAAATAAAAGCAGGAAAAGACATGATCACCAAAGGCATTTTTCAGCCTCATTTCTGGCTCATGGCATGACAGCCCAGTGAGTTGTTATGACAAACATATATGAGAATATAAATTTCAAACATGTGTAGCTGTTGCCTTTTAGTCCTCCTTTCCTCCTCTTTGATAATAGAAACTAGGCTTTCATTTTGAGTTACGACCATCTCTTACTAGATTTTCATCTCGTTTGCTACTTGAATTATTGAAATGCATGAGCTGCCAGGGTCCTTATCTGTGAAATGGGAATGTTAATAACTACCTACTTCATGCTATTATCCTAAGGACTAAAAGAGACACTGGAGAGATAATAGTACAGGCTGTGGCCTATCATAAGAGGACAGAGAATATTAGCTATATTCATGCATATAACTTTTGTTAGAAATATTAATTATATACCCATAATATAAATTTGTAAATTCAATTATATTCTGTTAAAAATCAGAACACTTGGGTTCTAGTAGTGGCTCTTTTGCTAAGAAGATGAGAGTCCTGAAGTTAGATACTTAACATCTCTGGTTTCAGCTTATAAAATGAGAAATTTGTATTAGATGATTATTAAGGTCACTTTGGACTCTAATATTATTCTTTGTTTGACTTCTCCATAGCAACTGTTTTCTGCAATGAGACTGGCTAGCTAGAGAGCTGCTTTCTACAACATAGTTCTCTTTTTAGAAATGTACAGATCAGAATTCAGCTTTTCTTCTAGGAATCAGTTTGATGGTCAGCACTTGACTCACTTTCTTGGGAATTCTTGATCCCAAACCCAGGAGAAAATTTTCATTTCCTTACCAATGAAAATTTTTAGAAAGATATCTGTACAATAAAAATAAGTCCTAGATGAACCGTGGGATCTGATGGAAGTATTTATGTATCAGATACTAGAGCTTAGGGTGCAGCATAATGGTGGCTGAAAGAGAGAGAAGGCTGAATTAGAGTAGATCTTGGTGGTAATCCAACAATAGCATCCTTCTGTGCTGGCCAGCACCAAATCCAAGTTGCTAGGTGGCAATAGAAGGACTGAGAATCCCTAAAGGATACTCATTAGGGATGGCATTGGGAATGGGTTAGAGGAAAGTGTTGGCTGGAAACTAAATGGGCAGTGGCTTTTGTTCAAGAGGTTTACACACAGGGAGCTGATAAGCAGACATGAATGTGTATCAGGGTCAAAGTACCTTGAAGCAAAAAAGCCCAGTCCTGGAAATGGGGGCAACGTGAGCAGGAAGGATGACAAGTTACAGTGGCAAATTCCTAAACTCCACTGATCATCACGTGGGAACTCAATGTCTGAGT